GGACTTTGCAGGCGCACCAGTGAGAGATTAAGGAATCACCTCATTCACAAACTGTATGGAAAAAGGGTAACTATCCGGATACAAAAGCAGTCTTTGTTTGAAACCCTAACATCGTTGGACCCTACCAACATTAACCAAATCAAGAATGAATTGGAAACTTTACAAAGACAAACACAAAAACTTGCCATGAATGGGAAACAAAAAAAACTAAAGAAGCTGCACCAAGAGCAGACCTTTTGGATACAACCTAAACATAAAAGCAACCCAACATCTATACCTCTTACCATCAGTGACCTGGAATCTAATCGGGAATCCCAAGGGATCCCTTGTGTAAATGCTGACCCGACTGAAAATGTGGATATAACAGAGGAACTTGGAATCATCAACTTGTCAAAGCATAAACTTTCCGAACCAGAATTAACCATCTTCTCCAAAGGCCTTACATTCTGCCCAACCACCAAATTGGATCATTTACAAGTATTGTCAGATATGGAGGATTTCTTCAGGAGACTAAGGCTCAAAGAATATTTCCCACAATAATGAAAGGAATCCTAGGACAATGGAGTGCTACACAAAGAAAAAGAACAGCTGCTTCACACCTCCACAAGGACGCAACCCCAAACTGGACACCTATATTGATAGCTTCAGATTGCGAGCTACATCCCTTATATCCACCCAGCAAAAGAAAATTCTGTACAATCTTTCACCACTAGAGCGAAGGGCTATACACGATTTGTGCAACAATCAGGCCATCACCATCAAACCAGCGGACAAAGGGGGAGCAGTTGTTGTGATGGATACAAACAAATACATACAAGAAGGCCAGAGGCAGTTGGAAAATGCCATTTACTATAAAAAAACGGGATTATGATCCGACCCAGGACTTTACAAAGCAATTAAAAGGTCTCATTAAAACACTTCCAGCCCACCTACATTCAGAACTTATAAATGCGATTCCGGATCATCCAGAAATCGGGACTTCTACATGCTACCCAAAGTCCACAAGCCAGGAAATCCAGGCAGACCCATCATAACAGGTATGAATACACTCACCGAACAAATCTCAGGCTTTGTAGAAAAAATTTTTAAAACCGTTAGTCATGAATACTGCTAGTTTCCTGCAAGACACAACTGACTTTCTGAACAAGATCAACAACATACAGCAATTACCATCTAATACACTTCTAGTGACTATGGATGTAGTATCCCTGTATAGTAATATCCCTCACAAGGATGGATTAGCTGCATGTCACAGATCTTTATCATCCCCACCAAACAACAAATACACTGCTGAGGATGTTACACAGCTCATTGAATTCATACTTACAACTACTTTGCTTTCAATAAAGACATCTATCTTCAATGTATGGGCACTGCGATGGGAAGTAAAATGGCACCCCAATATGCAAATTTATTTATGGCTGACCTGGAGGAACAATTCCTGAACAGCATGGAACAAAAACCATACAGATACTTTTGCTATATTGATGATATTTTCATCATATGGACAGAAGGTGAAGAAAATCTAAAACAATTTTTACTCATTGATGAATACTTTTCATCCATCAATCAAACTAAAAATGGAATACTCAAACACACATGTCAACTTCCTAGACACCACAGTATACATCAGGGATGATACGCTTCACACCTCAATATACAGGAAACCCACTGACAGATGCAACTACCTCCACAGTTCCAGCTTCCACCCCCAACACACGAAACGTGCCATCATACACAGTCAGGCCATTAGATACCACCGAGTATGTTCTGACCCAAGAGACAGAGATAAACATCTCGGGACACTAGCAGACGCCTTCCATAAGAAGGGTTACAAGGACAAAACTATCAACACCAGCATAAACACAGCCTTGAGAACCCGAAGGCAAAATCTACTTCAGTAGAAAGAGAAAAAAACAAACAACCGTGTACCTCTAGTAACCACATACAACCCAGCACTAGAAGGAATAAGAAAAATAATCAAAGATTTACCACCCATCATAACAGAGGATGGAACTCTGAAAGAAATATTCCAGCAACCCCCAATACTGGCTTCAGACAACCCCCCAACCTCAGAAATAAACTAATCAGTAGGAAACTTCCTTCTGATTATGATGTCACAAATAATGGAAGCAAACCCTGCAATAAGAAACGCTGCAAGCTGTGCAACCAAATCAATCCATCAAAAAGTGTCAGACACTCAAAAGGGATCTTCAGTATTTCCGGATCATACAGCTGCACCTCCAGTAAGGTTGTGTACCTTATCCAGTGCAGAAAATGCAGCAAAGGATCTTATGTTGGCGAAACAGGACAGAAGTTGCAAACAATGATAAATTTGCACAGACATACCATCAAGGAACATAAAGAAGATGACCTCTGCACACCTGTAGGACACCATTTCACACAACCAGGCCACAATATGGAAGACCTCAATATTTTAGTTCTGAAAGGAAAATTCAAATCCATCCAGGAAAGAAAAACATTTGAACTAAGAATGATAATTCTATTTGACACAAAAGATAACGGCCTTAACTTGGACATGGGATTCCTCAACCATTATCCGACAGCTGTATGACTATCTATTAGCTAAAGCTTGACCCCCTCTGTGTGAGTGTAGTATCCCCCCCCCCCCTCGCTTTGATGTATCTTATCTGTAGCCTTTTTTTTTTTCTCAATCCCTTCTAACATTCTGCTTAAACTTTGTGATTTGTAATAGTACTGCTTAGACCTTGAAGAAGGGGACATACCCCAAAAGCTTGTCCACATAAGAAAGTTTAAATGCCATCTTAATCTTAGAATATATCCGCAATGAAACATCCATCAATCCATCCGTACCTGCGTTTCATGATGAATGGATGATGATACAAATGCTCACACCAGTGCTACTAGTAGGGGCACATATACTGGTCAGCAGCTAGTAATCATAGAAGAAGAGCTTACTTATGTAAGGAGAAAAAGATCAATGTAAGAATTAGTGAATGATTTGGACTTGCATGGCTGTGTGTGTAGGGACATGATAAACAGTCACTTGAACCTCACAAGATGTAATGCAAGAACACTGTAAGGGTGTTAGTGGACTGGAGGTCATTGTGTAAGAGGATTGAACGTACACTGGCGTGTGCGGTCCATAGACACGCTGCACACATGCTGGCTGGTGTGCTCCTGCCTTCTGATTGCCATCTCTCACAACCAGGAAATGCAGACACCTCATTGGGAGCCAATGGGCTCACACCATGAGGTCACATGGCTGGAGGTTCTCCCGAGGAGGACGGGTGCTAGTGCACTCCATCGAGGACCAATGAGGGCACATCTGGGTTTCACATGACTGCACCTAAGGAGAGGGCGGGCTCCGATGTACTTGATCAGGGACAGATGGGGTCACAGGGCAGAGGACGTAACAGATGCAGAGGGGGAGGATGGAACGTTAGTGGCACCTAACTAAAAGGGAGAATACAGAGTGCCGACTGTCGGCATGGACAGCATGCACTAAGAGAAAGGACAGCTGGCTGAGAAGAAACTGCTAAATGGGACAGAATCCCTGCATGATGATAAAAAGTATATAATAACTGTTGAAATTGTTGTGTTATATATCTAAACTAGCAGCAGTATGTGCGTATGGGCGGAAATAGAATATCGACCAAAGCAGAAATATATATATATATATATATATATATATATATATATAGGTCTATAATGAAAAATTCTGGTGCATATATGTAGGGATGGATGGATAGAGGGACATTATAAAACAAGAATGTAAGGACACGTATATGCTCATAAGCATTAAGAAGCTTAGTATTCTTCATATAACAATAAATACCGTATCATATGGTACTAGCTGTAGTAATAAAAATACGAAACCGAGAAAAATCATGAATGTGTCTATTGATATATCTGGGGAAATAACTAACAAGAAAGGGTGCACTCTGTGTGTACTGAGATGACTGTTAAACCAAATAAAAAAAATAAAATAAAAATCGTAGTAAATAATCAATAAATTAAGTGGAAATCAGATGATAAAAATATGAATATTAATATGATATACAGATGTTAATGACAATGATCTCCAAAATGGGTAAACCAATAATAGTGGTGTTTATACAATAATAAAAATATGTAAAATAATATATATAAATATCGATGAAAAATAAAGAATTAAAAAAATATGTTCACAGATATATGTATATATACATACAATCATGTCCATCCATAACCACTATCCATGCAAGAGACCAGTCAAAGAATAAATATATACAAAGGAGGTACAAAAAAAAACTCTTAAGTGACTTGGATTCAAAGATAGAAAAAAGAGAGTTGCTCATATAGAAAATGTAATGGATCTATGCACATTTACCACTTGCCTACCAGGCACTTATACCCCCTTCCTTACTAGGCCAATTTTCAGCTTTCAGCGCTGCCGCACTTTGATTGACAATTGCGCGGTCATGCAACATTGTACCCATATGAAATTTTGATCATTTTTTTCTCACCAATAGTGCTTTCTTTTGGTGGTATTTAATCGCCACTGGGCACTTTACTTTTTGCGCTATAAATAAAAAAAGTGCAAAAAATTTGAAAAAAAAAAAAAAAAAGTTTATTTGTTTCTTTTATAAAATTTTTCAAACAGGTATTTTTTCTCCTTCACTGATGTGCGTTGATGAGGCAGCACTGATGGGCACTGATAAGCGGCACTGATGGGCACTGATAGGCAGCACTAAAGGGCACTGATAGGCAGTACTAATGAGGTGGCACGGATAGGCGGCACTGATAGACAGCACTAATTAGGGGTCACGGATAGGCGGCACTGATATGCAGCACTGATAGGCGGCACTGATAGGTGACACTGATTATGGGTACTGATAGACGGCACTGACTGGCATCACTGCTGGGCACTGACTGGCGGCACTGACTGGCACAACCCCTGGGCACTGACTGGTGGCACTGACTGGCAGCACTGCTGGGCTGCACTGGTGGGTGGCACTGGTGGGCAGCACTGGTGGGTGGGCACAGGTGGGTGGCACTGGTGGGCACAGGTGGGTGGCACTGGTGGGCACAGGTGGGTGGGCACAGGTGGGTGGCACTTCTGGGCACATGTAGGTGGCACTTCTGGGCACAGGTAGGTGGCACTGCAGAGTGGCACAGGTGGGTGCACTGCTGGGCACAGGTGGGGGCACTGCTGGGCACGGGTGGGCGGAGCTAGTGGGCGCACTGCTGGGCGGAACTTGCGGGTGTCACTGCTGGGCACCGATCATCAGGGCACTGATCATCAGTGCCCTGATGATCGGTGCCGATCCCCGCTCTGACAACTGCCGGTTCTCGGCAGTACTTTCCTCACGATCTGACAGCGTGAGGAAAGTGCAGCCGAGAACCGGCACTTGCATTTCCCTGTGATCAGCGTGTCATTGGACACCGCTGATCACGTGGTAAAAGGCCGGTATGATCGGCCTTTTACCACATCTCGTGATCAGCTGTGTCCGTAGGACACAGCGATCACGGAGATTGCCGGGTGCGCGCCCCCTGGGGCGCGCAGGAGAGCGCGTTCTGGGAGGACGTCATTTGACGTCCACTCAGAACTGGCCGGCCGCAGTGAAGCCGTCATTCGGCTATGCACGGTCGGCAAGAGGTTAATAAGTGCGTATGTACGAGCAGGTGTGCATGACTCATCATTACACATGCATGCATGTATGTATATCCGCAGTGTCACACATGCGGAACCAAAAGAACGTGCATGCATATTTTCAAACCAGGTGGGTCGTTATTATGCGACTCTTGGAAATGTCGTAGGACAGAATAATTGCAATGATTTTTATTGTTGACCTTAAAGTTAGTAATATTGCACTTGTGGTAACCAAACCTCACTTTCAATGGTCTCGTGGTCCGACCCACATATAGAAGGCCACATGGACAAATTAAGCCCTAAATGACAAACAAGGTGCTATAGTTGATGAACTGTTTGATCTTAGGTGCACAACCGTCTGTACCCAACACAACTTTTTTTCTATGCCACATATACCTACAGGCTCCACACTTAGTCACCCCACATCTGTAGCAGCCCCTTTGATCAAAAAAGACTGACCAAGGGCTGGCAAATTTCACCTCCCTAGTGCAAGGTTTCTGAATCCTACTAGGTGCAATGTAGCTCCTGAGATCTCTAGGTTTCCTAAATTAGATCTCTGGTCTAGGTGCGAGGCAATGTTTCAGAACAGGGTCTTGTCTTAAAATACCCCAATTTATCTGTAGAATCCTTTGAATGTCAAAGGCTTTAGTGTTGTACTTAGTACAGAATCTGACTTGGCTGGTGTATTTGTTGTTTGCCTCCCCTTTGTTATGTCTGGTGTGTGTAGAGAGGTTGTAATTTGTTGGGGGGGGGGGTAATCTTCCCCGTACTGTGCCCAGTACTTGAGATAGGCTTCATCTACATGGGCCTGACTGTACCCTTTCTCCAAGAATCTGGTTCTCAGGACGGAGCTCTGTTCTTCGTAATCCGTTTTGGTAGTACAGGTTCTCCTTAGTCGACAATTTTGTCCAAAGGGGACATTGTGCATCCATCTGGGGGGATGGTGGCTATTGGCATGTAGGTATGAATTACCCGCACTGGGCTTAAAGTGTGTTTTTGAGCGGATGTTTCCGTCCATGTCGGCCCATAATTCTAGATCTAAAAAGACCAAATGCTAGAAAAAAATGTTTTTACAATAATGCATTAGGCTGGTGCTCCCTCTGTATTTCTTTGCATCCAGTGACATTGGACTACCCTGGTCTGTTGAGGGCAGCAATGAGTGCATTTTTTAGGTTATCCGTAATGTTACCACAACCCTAGCCGAGTCCATCCCGAAGTGCCTGAGTACAGAGTTTGCTGTGTTCATTGTTCGAGTTCGTTGTGTATTGCGGGCTCCAGCTGCTCTGGACCTGAGACTCTTTTCACCACATGAACTTTGTACCAGTAGACACATTTTTTTTAGCTTTATAATGGTGTTATCAATTGAAGAATGCTAACTAAGGCGTATGTCCTTGACTAGAGGGTTCACAAACAGCATTGATTGATGAGTCTCCCATAGAGAAGAATGATGTTCCAACATCCAGCTTGGCTTCCCGTACTAGAGAGGATAAGATTATTTGTTTTACAAATTGAAGCATATTCTAGAAAAAAAGATGGCACAATGATGGGATATATTGCTGCTGGAGCTGAGATGTGAAGGTGCAGGAATCGTTGTGATCTGAGATGTGAACGTGCAGGAATTGGAGCTGATCTGAGATGTGAAGGTATAGGAATTGGGGCTGATCTGCTGTATGAAGCTGCAGGAATTGGGGTGATCTGAAATGTGAAGGTGCAGGAATTGGGGTGATCTGTGATGTGAAGGTGCAGGAATTGGGGTGATCTGAGGCGTGAAGGTTCAGGAATTGGAGCTGATCTGAGATATGTAGGTGCAGGAATTGGGGCTGATCTGAGGTATGAAAGTGCAGGAATTGGGGTTTTCTGATGGGTGAAGGTGGAGCTGATGTAAGGTGTAAATTGCAGGAATTGGGGTGATCCGAGGTATGAAAGTGCAGGAATTGGTACTGATCTGAGATTTGAAGGTGCAGGAATTGGGATGATCTGAGGTTTAAAGGTGCAGGAATTGGACTGATCTGAGGTGTGAAGGTGCAGGAATTGGGGTGATCTGAGGCATGCAAGTACAGGAAACTGAGTTGATATGAAATCTGATGGTTCAGGAACTGGGGTAATCTAAGGGGTGAAAGTGCAGGAATTGGAGCTGATCTGAGATGTGAAGGTGCAGGAATTGGGGCTGATCTGAGGTATGAAGGTGCAGCAACTGGGGCTGATCTGATGTGTGAAGGTGCAGGAATTGGGGTGATCTGAGATGCGAAGGTGTAAAAATTGGGGCTGATCACAGGTATGAAGGTGCAGCGATTGGGGTGTTCTGATGGGTGAAGTTGCAGGAATTGGGGTGATCCAAGGTATGAAGGTGCAGGAATTGGAACTGATCTGAGATGTGAAGGTGAAGGAATTGGGGTGATCTGAAATGTGAAGGTGGAAAAATTGGGGCTGATCACAGGTATGAAGGTGCAGAAATTGGGGTGATCTGATGGGTGAAGGTGCAGGAACTGGGGTAATCTGAGGTAAGAAGGTGCAGGAATTGGGGTGATCTGAGGTTTGATGACCCAGAAATTGGCATGATCTGAGGTGTGGAGGTGCATGAACCGGGCTTGATCTGATGTGTGAAGGTGCAGGAATTGGGAATGAACTGAAGTATGAAGGAGCAGGAACTGGGCTGATCTGAGATGTGAAGGCATAGGGATTGGAGTGATGCGAGTTGTGAAAGTGCAGGAATTAAGGTTGATCTGAAATCTGATGGTGCTGATACTGGGGTGATCTGAGGTGTGTAGATGCAGGAAATGGAGTTGATCTGAAATCTGATGGTGTAGGAATTGGGGTGATCTGAGGTGTTTCGGTGCAAAGCTCAATATTTATTTCTTACTACAGTGTCTTGAAAAAAGTATTCCTACCCCTTGAGTCAATACTTTGTAGTACCACCTTTCTCTGCAGTTACAGCTGCAAGTCTTTTTGGGGATGTCTCTACCAGCTTTGCACATCTAGAGAGTGAATTTTGTGCCCATTCTTATTTGCAAAATAGCTCAAGCTCTGTCAGATTGGATGGAGGGTGTCTGAACAGCAAATTTCAAGTCTTGCCACAGATTCTCATTAGTAATTAGTTCTGAACCTTGACTGGGTCATTCTAGCATATGAATATGCTTTGATCTAAACCATTCCATTGTAGCTCTGGCTGTATGTTTAGGGTCCTGCTGGAAGGTGAACTTTCACCGCAGTCTCAAGTCTTTTGCAGACTCTTAACCGTTTTTCTTCTAAGATTGCCTTGTATTTGGCTCCATCTATCTTCCTGTCAACACTGACCAGCTTCCCTGTCCCTGCTGAAGAAAAGCATCCCCACAACATGATGCTGCCACCACCATGTTTCATGGTGGAACTAGTATGTTCATTGTGATGGGCAATGTTAGTTTTCCGCCATACATAACGTTTTGCTTTTGGGCCAAAATGTTACATTTTGGTTTCATCTGATCAGAGCACCTTCTTTCACATGTTTGCTGTGTCCCCCCAAATGGCTTCTCGCAAACTGCAAACAGAACTTCTTATGGCTTTCTTTCAACAATTTTCTTGCCACTCTTCCATAAGAGCCAGATTTGTGGAGTGCATGACTATAGTTGTCCTGTGGACAGATTCTCCCACCTGAGCTGTGGATTTCTGCAGCTCCTCCAGAGTTAGCATGGGCCTCTTGGCTGCTTCTTTGATTAATTCTCTCCTTGCTTGGCCCGTCAGTTGAGGTGGATGGCCATGTCTTGGTAGGTTTATAGTTGTGCCATACTCTTTCCATTTTCAGTTTGTGGATTGAACAGTGCTCTGTGAGATGTTCAAAGATTGGGATTTTTTTTTTTTATAACCTAACCCGTCTTTCAATTTCTCCACGACTTGATCTGTGACCTGTCTGGTGTGTTCCCTAGCCTTCGTGATGCTGTTTGTTCACTAATGTTCTCTAACAAACATCTTAGGGCTTCATAGAACAGCTGTATTTATACTATGATTAAATTAAACACAGATGGACTCTATTTACTAATTGAGTGACTTCTGAAAGCAATTTGTTCCACTAAATTTTAGTTAGGGGTATCAGAGTAAAGGGGGCTGAATAGAAATGCATGCCACACTTTTCACATATTTATTTGTAAAAAAAAGTTTGAAAAGCATTTTTTAATTTTCTTTCCACTAAACAATTATGTACCACTTTGTGTTGGTCTATCACATAAAATCCCAATAAAATACATATACATTTTTGGTTGTAACATGGCAAAATGGGTAACATTTCAAGTGGTATGAATACTTTTTCAAGGCACTAGATTATGTAAGTTATTTACAGCATTTACTATTCAAAGATTCTTTTTGAAAGTTTGAAGTTGAAATTTTTTTAATGTAGCTGGCATACTCTATCGCTTTGAAAAAAATTTTTGGCACACTGTGCTCAAAAGATTCTACACCCCTGTTATACGCCCTCCTACTATAGTTCTCTCCTACTTTCTAAAATAAAATAGCTACAGCAAGGTCACTTGATAAACACAATAAGTACAATAATATCTAATAAGATGTAAACCGTTACTTTTACCATATATTTTCACATATTACTACTATATCCAAATATTTTGTCTTGATAACCTACTGTTGTGATACTAACCTACTGTAAACCTCTGCAAACATCTAATAAAGTAAAAAAAAAAAAAAAACCGTGGGGAGATTTACTAAAACTGGAGCATGCAAAGTCTAGTGAGTCTCTGCGTAGAAACCAATCCACTTCAAGATTTTATTGTCAGAGCTT